GGCAGAGCATTGGGCTAGTATTTCCAAGGTCGTAAGTTCGATTCCCGCCCTGGCCAGGCATATTTTTCAAGCTTGCCCGGTTTGGATATACACTCAGAGTAATATTACAAACATCATATTCACTTGAATTGCCATTTTGATTGTTTTCTGTTTCGTTTTCCTTCTTTGTCTATATGAAAATTAGTTACAGAAATACGAAAGTAAGAGGTGTTTGGCATTAGAGAGAAATGCTGTTCATAAAGTTAAATACATCATCATTATAAATGATGTTTATGATGTTATGAGTGTGAATCCACACTGCATGAGCAAGCTGAAAGGTTTTCCTGACCACGGTGGAAGTCGAACCAGCGACATTTTGGATACTAGTCCTATGCTCTGCCAACTGAGCTACGTGGTCAAGTTTTGAGGTCAAGCTACGAAGCCAACTGAACTACGAGAACAACTAAACTCGTAGCTTAGTTGGCAGAGTATTGGACTAGCATCCCAAAGGTCGCGGGTTTGATTCCTACCGTGATCAACTCTTCAGCCTGCCCGGTGTGGATTCACACTCAGAGTAACATAAAAAACATCTCATTCACCTGAGTACATAACACCAACACACACATAAATATTTACAATGTTTCGTCGATAAATAAAAACGAACATGTACATCATGCATGATATTCTAATTGCCCAGTAGTAGGTAATGGCTAACTGATTATGCGCCATCCTAGATCCAGCACCGAACATGATAGATTATTTCAAAAGCGCTGAACTTGACTGAACCATATGTCTGATAGAATTATTAGAGAGCGACGGCAACAGTATACATCTCAATTTCTAACTTGTCTTAGTTTACTTAATCCTGTAGTATACAAAGGCTCTCTAGAACTTTGGAAATTCACAGCATTTGTGCACGCAGAAGCACATAATAAGCGCTGCACTCAAATATACCGCTCAACGTTCACAAACTGCGGGAAATCGTACTATTTTGTACGAAATCGTCAACTGTAACGCCTGGTATGTTAATATAATATGTTTTCGTTAATTTTTATTGCTTAAGCAATAAATGGCCAAGCATTTGCGATTTTGAATGAACGAATTGATTAACAAAATATATTGTAACGGGGCACTTTCGCTTAGCCTAATGGCGTAAAACTACATTTTAAAAATAGATAATGTTGGCATCTAGGCCGCAGTTTTTAAGACTGACGCTCAACTCACAATTAGTGGGTACAAAGTGCGCAAAGAGCTAGTATGAAACTGAAGAACTAGACGACACACGACAAAACAGATAACACCGAAAAAGGAAAAGGTGAACATGATTATAAAAACACTATTGATTTGATCTTGTATACTAAATATAAACTATTTTGCAACCATACTGTATTATACGACATGTCTCTAATTCTTTATTTTGTGTATTTAGCAAACGAGCGAGCAATTTGTTGCTGTTAATATAAAACAGCTGTCTCCAAAGAAACTGCTGATTTGCATTTAGTGACGAGTTCATGTTTTATTTCGGGGGAGGGTTGTGTATGTGGGTGGGGGGGGGGGGGGGGGTGTCAATTTTTAACTGAGTAGGGGGCCGTTGTTTCCACTGCCTATATGCTTGGATGAACGTCCTTATGTCCTTCATATTACCGTTTGGCTTTGAGTCTGATTATTTTTGAGGACGAAGTAGCCCCAACTTTTCCTTGCATGGTTATCTATAGCACTGAGATCGCCCCCACCTGTCCTGCCGTACATTTTCTTCTTCATCTTTTGCCGTAATGTGAAATAAACATTTTATTTCTCAATTTCACTCGTTTTGCACAGGTTTTTGCATGTCTCATTTTATGAGACCAAAATATGTAATTATGTTTTTGCATAACGTAAAAACGCGCAATGAAAGAAAGAAATGAAATAAAGTCAAATGAAAGAAAGGAATTCTAACATACCGCTTCAATATCGTGTAGCAATGTCCAATCTCCTGATGTTGTTGTATCCCTCTTTTTCGTAACGTTGTTCAGTTGGCAGTTTTTAACTTTGATTGTTGTAATTCTGTAGTTAATTCCAACACATTTTGGTTCTTTATAACAAAGAGTGAGGCACTTTATCTGGACAGCTGGGTTTTCAACATTATGACTCGATATAACCTCATCTGAAGGTAAAGGTGGACCTCCTATGTAAAAGTAAAAAGTTCAAGTAGAGCACGATTGGTTAATGGAATATTGAAGAAAATAGTAATATATTTTCACTGCTATCCCCCTGAAGAGGAATTAAGATTGGAGATAAGAATTTATTTCAGCTTGGACACAGTGAGCGAAGATGCGGGTGTCGCAACTGAGGGGAGGTGGGAGGATACGGAGATGTGAAATTTTCTTGCCCACTTAGACGAGCAAACACCGAATGCGTAAAAATCCAGCTATCCTCTGTTTTTTATACATTCTCCGCTGTTCCCTAGGGTGTTATACCCTATTATGCTTAAAACAGGCACATTACTTCCTCTATCTTTGGCATTGTTATGGCAGAGATCCGTGTGAAAATACGTCAAGGAAAACTAAAGAAAAATCGACTAAATTAAAATTCGTGCGGAAGTGTGCACCAACACGAGAGGCTCGGGGCGTCGGCGACGTCGCGACCGTAGCGGCAGCTGTACTCAAGAGGGTCGCTGTGATCGTGAAGTGCATGACTTTTCGTGTTCGCATGTACTAACGATCGGTAGAAAGGTTGCTCCAGCCCATGTGTTGAGCTATATCCTCATCTGAAGCGCCCAACAAGATAACGTGATGGAACAGCCTGCCCGGAGGTTGTACGTGGTCTCGCCTAAGTGAAGAGATAAGATAGTGAGATGGTGGTGCTGGAGGCGCTTCGCTACGAGATTGCTCTTCAGGGGTTTAAGAGTTATACGTCCATGGTGATTCGAGGACCGGAAAAGGTTACCAAATCGCAGACCAATTCCCATAGTTCGTGAAATTTCGAAGTAGAGCTTCAGGTTGGTAACAGGACAAACGATCGGGTGCGGGGATGGATAAAGCGAGAAGGTGTGTGTGTCATTGCTTCGGAGCGTTTTCTCAAATGTCTGGTTGAAGAAAAAGCCAGAGTAGTTGGGTAGAGCAAGAAAATCTCGAGTTTATACGCGCCCAAGGTCGGATGCGCGGTTTCCCGAAAAGAACTCGATGCAGAAGAAGGCCAAATCCCTCGCATACAGGTACCAATCGATTGTTGCAATTCCGTCGGATAATGCCATGAGCCTTAAGTAGGAACAGAGGGATGTGAAGTTGTGAACTTGTTGAATAATAGAGGAATGGCTTGCCGTTTGACAACATGAGCTTGCGCCTGTTCTTCGCGAATAGCCGATAAATACTATTTGACCATGAGGTGCGAGGCGGGATTACTAGACGTGAAGCCAGGAGGGTATCCCGATGCAATTGTAGCTCCACTGTAGCTGCAGCGAAGCGCGTTGGACACTGACAAGAGACGCTTCACGAACTGGTACCAAAGTGTATACAACGATCGTTAGGGATGGTAGTATGTTCAGAAGAGTCGTTCCAAATTAGAAATTTAACCAGATGAGACGGCGTAGCTGCCAGAAGAGATTTGGGCAAGGGGACGGAAACCAAGGAGGATTCGAGTTCCTTCTGTAGGTTGAATTTTTTCGCTGATAGGGTTTGTTACGTACTACTGGTTTGGAGAGGCAACACGAGTGTCAATAGCGGAAATGTCTAAAGCAAAGTTCCCGATGGTGGACACGATATGAACATCTTTGTGAAAACCGCACCTCTGGCAGAAATGAAAGCCTTGGTCGTTTCGATAAAAATAGTCATGTGGGATCTCCCAAAAAAAATGGCTGCCATTTTGCGGTCTATAGATGACATGAATGTAATGATGTATGAAAATACCAGTGTAGCGAAAGACAAAGGAAGAAACCAAACAAACAAAATAAAACAAGCAAGACGAAAGGGAGATGCGTTTAAATATTAATTTTCCTTACATAAATGGTAACACGAGTTATACTAAACGTACTGTAACTGGTTTTGGTGGGGTTTTTTGTTGTTTTTTTAGAACAATTTTTAACCTAACGACAGGACCCTAGTTGATAACATTATTATTAAGTATATTCCACACAAAATCCACACTTGGGAAAACGAAACATGTGTGTCGACTCATGAAAGCGTGCGTCTATCGTTTCGGAGCGCGACACGCTCTAGCGAAATGACCTGGTTGACGACAGTTAAAACAGAGAAGAGCGAAAAAATTAGAATAGTTGTATGGACGGCGTGAGTTGGTTGAACGGTAATGGTTTTGTGATTGGTAGTGTGAGAAACGGGTACTGGAAGGTGTGGGATGAAGGGGTAGCCCATGAGGGACAGACTCAGTGGATGTCTCGAGGAACTGCTCGATGATCTTTGAAATCTCAATTTCCTCTTTATCCCCGACTAATTTGAGGAGAAGGGCTTGAAAACGCTGGTGGGTTTGTAAATGACTCACTTGCTTGAAGATGATGTTGCATTGATTAGCTTGCTCGTTATTGGTTTGTCGGCCAACATCAATGGCATGCTCCAAACAGGATAGGGTGTGAAAGAATAAAAAACACTCGGGGGTTTCGTGAGTTCATTACAAAGGCGATCCATTGTGGCCGCTACTGTTGTAGTGTCGGTGCGTTTGGACATGGTATCTACTCGAGCTTGCAAGCTCGCCAAAGTAACTGCAGCAATAAAACACAAAATCGTACGCGTGTTAGGTCAGAAAAAACAAAATTCGGTCTAAAACATAGATATTTACAGCAAAAGAATAAACAATTACTGGAATACGAGTGCAAAAACCAACAGAGAAAATGAAAACATTGTTGAAATTCGCTGATGTGACAAGCGATGAATATATCGCGTACGTACAATGCGGATTCAAATGCGTAGAAAATACCATCGTATAACAAACAGAGTAAATGTAAGGTCAAATAATGAGCGCCAAAACTAAAGTGAGACTAACAAAGAGACGAAACTGTTGGCTCAAAGAATAGAAAAACAATTATCATTTTGCGCGAAACAGGCTCCGGTTAAATTAATCGTTTAAAAAGTCACTTTTTATGGCGCTAAAGATATCATTATAATCAATCGGAGTAGCATCAGTCAAAGTTAGCGAGCACATCCGATCAGGCGTATCGATCGAGCGACGCCAGAAAAATTCTGATTGAACAACCAGACAACAGGGTACGAAACAAAATGAGTCCACAATCTACCAAATGTCTGGCGATGATTGCTATCAAGCGCCCAACCGAGAACTCCGTCGTAGAGAGGGTAAAAGGCGTATTTAGTTTGCACCTGTCGAGGGGGAGCAAGATAACAAACCGTCAGTAAGAAATGGACATGGGAGAGAAGGCCGCATGAACATAATATAGCTAGGGAAAAACTGAGTAATTTTTAGATATTGAATATATAATTATTTACAGATAAAACCGGCATACACGCAAAACCGTATCTCTTATATCTAGTCTCACACAGAGATCATGTAACTTCACGTCGAAAAAATTGCAAATCGCATCTCACACAGAGACGATATAACTCGATCCCCTTGCCAAAAACTTTTAAAATCTCGTCTCACACAGAGACTATGTAACTCCTCGTCAATAAATCATAAAACCTCGTCTCATACGGAGACTGATTCCTTGTAAACAATGTTGTCCCGTTTATAACTCTTGTCTCACACAGAGACTATATAAATCGCGTCATAAAACGCATCTCACCCAGAGAGGGTAACTCCTCGTCCAGATTGTTTTACAATATCTCGTCTCACACAGGCACTATTATTATCTCTCGTTAACAATCTATCAAAGCTCATCTCACACAGAGACTCTCAGTGTACCTCTCGTCAACCAAGTTAGATCTTGTCTCACGCAGAGACTATGTAACTCCTCGTCAACACGATATTCTAAATATAACACCGAGACCATGAAACTCATGATAAACACTCTTTCAAATCTCGCCTCACACAAAATTACATTGAAATATTCTA